CGTCTTGCAGGAGAGGGCCAGGGACCGCGGACGTCTTGCAGGAGATGAGGGCCAGGGACCGCGGACGTCTTGCAGGAGAGGGCCAGGGACCGCGGACGTCTTGCAGGAGATGAGGGCCAGGGACCGCGGACGTCTTGCAGGAGATGAGGGCCAGGGACCGCGGACGTCTACAGGAGATGAGGGCCAGGGACCGCGGACGTCTTGCAGGAGATGAGGGCCAGGGACCGCGGACGTACTTGCAGGAGATGAGGGCCAGAGACCGCGGACGTCTTGCAGGAGATGAGGGCCAGAGACCGCGGACGTCTTGCAGGAGATGAGGGCCAGAGACCGCGGACGTCTTGCAGGAGATGAGGGCCAGAGACCGCGGACGTCTTGCAGGAGATGAGGGCCAGAGACCGCGGACGTCTTGCAGGAGATGAGGGCCAGAGACCGCGGACGTCTTGCAGGAGATGAGGGGGCCAGAGACCGCGGACGTCTTGCAGGAGATGAGGGCCAGAGACCGCGGACGTCTTGCAGGAGATGAGGGCCAGAGACAGCGGACCTTTGGGAGGGGGGATGGGTACCCGAATTTGACAGTTACCCGCTCCCACTTCCACTGCGATTGCTTAGGCAGGTCCCAGAAGACTACGGGGCCATTCACAAAATGCAGCGCTTCTCGCGCATGTGCAGTGGGCACCCGGCTGTGAAGCTGCAAGCTGTCACATCTGGGTGCCTACACTGAAGATACTGGTGCCAGGGAGAGAAGACGGCCGGTGAAATCAGCGCTGATGAGGACACCGCTGGACCGAGGAGCAGGTTCTGCTGCACAGAAGAGCTGAGCAGCCAGCCAGGCGACAGAGGGAATACCGGGCCGGGCGCTCCATAAGACGCACAGACATTTTCCCCATTTGTTTGTTCTCCATTAAAAAAAATGTGTCTTTCCAGGTCAGTAGTCAACACCAGGTTCACACCTAAGTGGTTTCTGCAGTTTTGCAGAAACCCACTACAGTCCATTTAACATGATTTCCTATGGGACACGTTCACATCCCCGCGTTTTCACCCGGGGGGTGTTTTGGAAAAGGGTCAGGGACTTTTTTTTTAATGCAAAAAGTAACATTTTTTGATTCTATAGACTTCAACGGAAACTCTGCAGAAAAGCATGTAGTGCTGCAAAATGCGTCAAAATGGAATGCGCAATGCAGAAACGGATCAAACGCAAACTGCATAGGTGTGAACCTAGCCCAAGGTCAATGGAGGAATCTGCAGTGCCGGCTATTGTGTCCAGACAGCCACAGCACCCTTGGCTGTCTGAATACCCAAAACAGTGATTGCATGCTACAGAATTCAGTCACTGATTCAGCCGATTAATTTTCCACCTGTCCCAATAAAAGTTGATTTAAGAATGAGCTGAGCCAGGTGGAAAATGATGGACCGAACAGTGCTGTCAGGGCCACCCACTGCTCAAAATCTGCAATTCAAGTCGTATATACAGCTAGCTTAGAAATGCTGAGATCTTGGCAGTGTGAGATGTCCACTCAGAACACGTCGCTCCAGCATGCAGTGAGGTCAGAAGGGCATTTTAGTAAATGAGTGTTAGATCTTACAGTGTTACTAAACCCACAACAGTAAAATCAGTCTGTATATGCAGTAAAGCATGCTTGTTATACTCGCTGTGGAACCTAAGGGGTTAATCCTCTGCATTGTATAAAAAGGCTGTTTGATCCTGTCTTCTCTGATCTTATCCTTCTACTTTCCCCAATCCATCTGCTGATAGAACAGAGCCTTGGGGACAAGCTGCACATGCTCTGTTTGGTGTGTATTACCAGAGGGTTTTTTTTTTCTTTGGAGAGTGCATGTGATCAGCACAGGGCCCAACAGAGAGTCAGGGGTCCTGAAGCCTCATAAGACAATCAGGGGAGAATGAAAACTCCTCCTCCAAGTTTTAACCAGTGCTCTGCTGGACACTAATAGAAGTCACAAGACTGCTTTAACTGCTGATAAGAAAAGCTATTTAGGTTATATTTACTAAAATAATTGCATTTCTACAGTATGTCCTTTGTACTGTGGGAGACCAGATATAGCCTTCTCTGATCCCCCCTTCTCCCAGTGTCCCCCTGTTATCTCCTGATAAGACATACAGTATCATGTGGAGTCACTCTCTGCACATGCTCAGTTTGGTGTGGTTTTTTTTTTTTTTTTTTGGGGAGAGTGCATGTGATCAGCACAGGGCAAATCAGCACTGGTCAGACAGAGGTCAGGAGTTCTGCATCCTCCTAGAACAAAATGAAAACGCCTCCAAGTTTTAACCAGTACTCGGCTGGACACTGATAGAAGTCACAAGACTGCTTTAACTGCTGATGAGAAAATGTATTTAGCAGTTTATATTTACTAAAATAATTAAATTTCCATGTACTGTGGGATATAGTGAATCCTGGGTTTAGTAACACTTTACGTTAGGGGTTAACTAATATCATACCAAATGCTTAACTAGAACTCCGTAATGTATAAGGTTTCATTTACACCGCACTGCATGCAGGTACAGGGTGACTGCAGAGCTGCTCTATGCACTTGAAAAGGTTGGACTTGGCAATGGTACAGTCTGCCAAATGTGACAGAGGGTATCATTCTTCTTTGGCATTGCGGTCGTGTGTACAACCCCCTCTATCCGCTGTGTGGTTTAAGGGAAGGGGGGTAAAACCACAGCCTTCGGGCAGTGGTGGTCAACTTTCTTGTTATGGTGGGCCACATGTGTTGCCCTCGACATCACCAAAGAGCCACACAAAAAATTCAGTGCATAATCCATGTCAGCAGACACACAATAGGATATAGTCAAAGACTGCGGACATGCTACAGGAGATGGCCAGAGACGGCGGACATGCTACAGGAGATGGCCAGAGACGGCGGACATGCTACAGAAGATGGCCAGAGACGGCGGACATGCTACAGGAGATGGCCAGAGACGGCGGACATGCTACAGGAGATGGCCAGAGACGGCGGACATGCTACAGGAGATGGCCAGAGACGGCGGACATGCTACAGGAGATGGCCAGAGACGGCGGACATGCTACAGGAGATGGCCAGAGACGGCGGACATGCTACAGGAGATGGCCAGAGACGGCGGACATGCTACAGGAGATGGCCAGAGACGGCGGACATGCTACAGGAGATGGCCAGAGACGGCGGACATGCTACAGGAGATGGCCAGAGACGGCGGACATGCTACAGGAGATGGCCAGAGACGGCGGACATGCTACAGGAGATGGCCAGAGACGGCGGACATGCTACAGGAGATGGCCAGAGACGGCGGACATGCTACAGGAGATGGCCAGAGACGGCGGACATGCTACAGGAGATGGCCAGAGACGGCGGACATGCTACGGGAGATGGCCAGAGACGGCGGACATGCTACGGGAGGTGGCCGGAGACGGCGGACATGCTACGGGAGATGGGCAGGGACTGATGTGAATGTAAAATATATATGTAAAGCGCTGTGTAAATTGATGGCGCTATATAAGTACCTGAAATAAAAAAATAATGGTCGGAGACCACGGACATGCTACAGCAGATGGTTGGAGTCCGCGGACATGCTACAGCAGATGGTCCCAGCAGCTTTTTTTTTCTTCTACATGTGCTGTAAAAACACTCAAACGTTACTAAAACGCTACTAAAAACCACGATTACTAGCATTTTTTTTCAAGCTTTTGTTTTTTAAAAAAAAAAAAGGTATTGTGCAAGGAGCCTTAATAAGGTACTTTTTCCCTTGTTTGCTTTCCCTTTTTCCCTTTGTTGGCAACAAAAGGCTTTTACTGCCTTTTTTGCCAGAGCCCTTTTTTGTATTTATTGCACAAATGTTTAAAAAAAAAAATCACTTTTAGTCACTTTTCTCTCTCGCTCTCTCTCTCTCTCTCTCTCTCTCTCTCCCTCCCCCCCTCTCTCTCCCCCCTCTCTCTCCCCTCTCTCTCTCCTCTCTCCCCCCCTCTCTCTCCCCCCCCTCTCTCTCCCCCCCCCTCCCCCCCCTCTCTCTCCCCCCTCTCCTCCCCCCCTCTCTCCCCCCCCCTCTCCCCCCCCTCTCCCCCCCCCCCTTCTCCTCTCTCCCCTCTCCCCCTCTCTCTCTCTCTCTCTCTCTCTACATTCATACATTCTCTGAAAGCAGAGACCTAGAGAATAAAGTATTGGTTTGTAGTTCCAATTTTTTTTTTTAAACACGATATTACTGCAGAGGTGTAGGAAACACAAAATTTCAGTAAAAAAACACACTACAGGTAATTTTAGGTCACACAAATGCAATGACATACCCAATTGTTGGTAAAATGTAAAAGACGAGGTTGCACTGACTAAATACATACTCAACATGTCAAACCTTAAATTTGTGTGCACTCGTATAATGGTGACAGACTTCAGTACACTTTATTTTCTGTAGGCGACTCTTTAAAGGCGTAACGGGGTACATCAGGTTCCTGGTGCTTTTTTCCTTAAAAGTCCAAGGAGGAGTCCGGTTAAAGCCAGGACCAAAAGGGCGACATCGAAAAAAAAAGAGCTTTTGACCACTCTATGACATGAGGGTCATGGCGGTTTGGTAAGGAGATTGGCTCTATCACTGTGGTGTTGTGTGGACGACACTGGAGATAGTTCTGGGATCCTTTTATTTGGAGCTTGAATACTTTTATGGCCTTTTTGAGTTATTTAGCCCTGCTTTCGGTTATGCATTACTTTATGAATTTGGTCTGGCACTCCTGTTTTTTAAGCTCCATTGACATTCCTGGGCACCCATTGGAAGGTACTGTAACTCTGCTTGTGAGCCATCTAAACCAGCTCCATGGATCCTGCGGATTGCTGTGATTTAGGCAACCCAAGTGGATTTTCTGACTTTAGGACAGTTGCAATAACTGCAGAGCACAAGCAGTTCACTGGTTTGTTTCACTTGCTGCTTGGAATTGCTCTTTTGGAACCATTTTTCTGCTGCTGGCTACAACTTTGTTTGCTCCAGGTTCATTCATTGTCCTCTGTCTTCTCTTCTCTAGCCTGGAACCAGAGACAGCTTCGGAGGAAGATACATGAGCTACGTGAGATCCAGTACTTCAAATCCTTCTACAGTCGCTTAGGTATACCCAAAGGAGCCCCTTCTTATGAGCCAGTAGTTGAAGGCTACATCACACAACCTTTGGACCACTTCAACCGAAGAAACAACGCCACCTACGAGCAGGTCAGTAAATACAAACATTGGTCATATGATGAATATTTGAGTTGAGGACCTGCCATGGAACATTCATTGGTTTAGGCACAAGGGTCCCATCAAGGAAGCGAAGCCAATGAATGTGACGTATGCTGCACCCAGGTCTGGAATGTATTTAGGAAATACTGGCATTTCCACAGGTGATGATGTGCCACTGGAGGCTGGTGGGAGCTTTTAAGGTCTTCTCACTAGATATGTGCAGAATGAAAATTTTGTTTAATTTTGGATCAATTTTTGTTAAGTTACTAATTTCGTTTAGTTGCATTTATAATGAAATTTGTTTCATTTAGTTTTGTTCATTTGTTTCCGACCAGATTCAAATTTTTCCAATGGATACGAAATATTTGAATCGAAAATATCAAATTGGATCTCTGAAGACGGCTATATTCTTTCTATTCTATTTTCTAGTTATTTCTTTTCTATTTTGTTTTACTCTATTCTGTTTTATTCCTTTATTTTCTATTCAATTCTAGTCTATTTTTTTTCTATTCTTGTTGACATTCAAATTTCAAAAGATGGCTATAGTCTTTCTATTTTTATTCTAATCTATTCAAAATTTGAATTTCTGAAGATGTCTATCTTCTTCTTTTTTTTTTTTTTTTTTTTTTTTTTTTTATTTTATTCTGTTCTATTCTTGTCCTTTATTTTCTATTTGTATGCAAAGCCATACAAAGTAGTGTGCAGGAGCTGACAGGGGAGAGATCTTATTTTTTTTTTTTTTTTTTTTTTTTACATACAGGTCTCTTCCCTGTCGGAGATACTCAGTGATCACCGTGCCAGTGAGTGATCACCGGCCCGGACCCGCTGATTGACAGCCGAGGCTGCGAATGGTGGTGCGGGTAGGGCACACACGTGCGCCCCCTACCCGAAACTTCCAAATCCTTTGTCTATATATGTGATTTTGCACAGCCGTGGCACGCTGTAGCAGTATTTCTGCTATAGGGCGCTGTGGAACTGGTTAATGCCGAACAGACTTCAATGCTTCCTCTAGGGAATGTCAAATATTTGAATAAATGTGTCCCAGGATACTCTGGTATGCCACATGGTGCTTCTTATTTGGTAATAGTGCTATATAGTTTAGTTTTGTCTTTGAGAACAGGTTCACTTTGACACTTTTGGTACTACCAGAGATGTGGACCACAAGTCCTTGTTCACCATCAAACAGTGTTTACAAATGTTGCAGGGCACAATGTGAAGTTAGTCTACAGTAAAATATTTAGGGGGTTTATTTACTAAAACTGGAGAGTGCAAAATATGGTGCAACTCTGCCTAGAAACCAATCAGCTTCCAGGTTTCATTGTCAAAGTTTAATTGAACAAGCTGAAGTTAGAAGCTGATTGGCTGCCATGCACAGCTGCACCAGATTTTGTGCTCTCCAGTTTTCGTAAATCAACCCTTGGCGTACTGCATCATTTGACCCAATACAATTTAATTGCTGTGGAATGGATGCCATGTTCCTTCTTTTGATGCCTCTGTATATGAGTCCTTGAAGGCAATTGCTGAATGTTCTGACATGTTTCCTCATCTTACTCTTCCTCCAACTCTCCCCATTTAGCGGTACTGGATCAACAAAGAGTTCTGGCAGCATCCAGGTGGACCCGTATTCCTGTTCATAGGTGGAGAAGCTGCCGAATCTGAATATTCTGTCTTGGCAGGTTGGTAGAACATAATACAGCAATCCTCCTAATCATCTGGCACCTACTTTTTTTTTTTTTTTATTTTTAAACTACACAGCTGAAAAGAATGAGCACATCTATCCAGAGCGAGAATCGATCATCATGTATGTTGATTGAATACAGCTTTTCCAGTCTCCCATACTGCCCTGAGAGAAGGGGTTTAGTAATGAGAAACACTGTTCATCCTACAGATGGGCTAATACATGAGGACAATTGTAGTTAAAAAAAGTTGTAAACCCAACATTTCATATTCCTGATATGTGCCTGCTGTACTATGTACTTGTATAAAAAAGTATTCTCTTCTCTTTGTATTGCTTCCTTTCTGTGAAATCCCTGGTGTTCCTGCCAGTCCCTCTGCTTGCCTATTAAGAACTGACCACACTAGGCATGAGAGCACATTGTAGGTTTTCTGGATGTTCTGGGAGCTAATCCAATGATCAGACTTGCCATAACACTTACAGCCCCCCCCCCCCCCCTCCTCCCCACACCCATTCACTGGGAATATTAGTGCACTGCAGTTTCTCCTCCCCAGCTCTTATGCAGATAAGAACAGTGGGTATGCGATCACTTATGTAAAAAAAGAGGGAAACAAGATATCTATAATGCAGGAATGCAAATCTTCAGAACTGACAGGGTTTAACTTTTTTAATTTTCCAAAATATACTTCTTTAGTGTCATTAGTACATGTGTGATGCTCAGTCTAGTAGATCTCTTACTTTTTAAGCTGCTTATTAACCCCCCCCCCCCCTGCAACACACACACACACTTTTCTCTTGAAGATGGCAGGATATACCAAGTGTTGAAGTGCCCAGCCCCAGAAATTCATGAATGAACACTCAGCTTTGTTCACTACCCACCCCCGCTGTCTCACAAGTCCTCATTCTGCAACAGTGAAAGATCGCAGACTGCGCATTTGTGGGTAGGGAACAATACCAAGTGATCATTTCTGAGTTTCCAGGGCTGCCCCGTCAATGCTCAGTATGTTCTATCAACTGCAAGGCTGGGGGGGAGGGTGCAATGGAATAAGCTGCTTAAGGCCCCTTGCACTTGGGGGCCATATCTCGGTACAGTTCATCCCACTTCTGCATTCACTGTATGAAAATAACACACAGGGCCTTTAAACAAGGGTTCCAACCTGTCCAGCTGCAGGCTACCATAGGCTTTGACTGGCTGCAGCTGGACAAGGCTGGATGTGGTCCCTGTCCTTCCCAGATGAGATGCACTGCACCTAGATGGCTCTATATGTAAGGGAATAAAAGGTAAGCATTGATTTACTAAATGAAGCACTGCATATTAGAGTATGGAGGATGCTGTAAGACATAGGCATTACTTTTGAAAAAGTCATTATAGGTGAACTAAATCTTTAATTGTTATTACTTCAGATGTGAAAGGAGTAGCATGGATCACTTTAATGTAATTCTATAATGCTGACAGTTTTAGAAGCTTGCTCTTCCATATATTGAGGTTTTGTATATTCTCTACTAGAGCAGGGGTCTAGTACTTTTGGAACTAATGGACAGTTTTACTGCCCTTCAAACGTTAGGGCAGCTGGACTGTGGCTTAATGGTGAGTGGGAATGAAACAAATTACATAATTGGTGTCAATGGAAGGAATAGTTTCCCATCATTTGGTGTCAGTGGGAGGAACAGTTTTCCATCACTTGGTGTCAGTAGGAGGAATAGTTTCCCATCATTTGGTGTCAGTGGGAGAAATAGTTTCCCATCATTTGGTGTCAGTAGGAGGAATACAGGTGAAACTCGAAAAATTTGAATATCGTGCAAAAGTTCATTTATTTCAGTAATGCAACTTAAAAGGTGAAACTAATATATGAGATAGACTCATTACATGCAAAGCAAGATAGTTCAAGCCGTGATTTGTCATAATTGTGATGATTATGGCTTACAGCTCGTGTAAACCCCAAATCCACAATCTCAGAAAATTTAGAATATTGTGAAAAAGTGCAATATTCTCGGCTCAAAGTGTCCCACTCTAATCAGCTAATTAAGCCATAACACCTGCAAAGGGTTCCTGAGCCTTTAAATGGTCTCTGTCTGGTTCAGTAGGAATCACAATCATGGGAAAGACTGCTGACCTGACAGTTGTGCAGAAAACCATCATTGACAACCTCCAAAAGTAGGGAAAGCCTCAAAAGGTAATTGCAAAAGAAGTTGGATGTTCCCAAAGTGCTGTATCAAAGCACATTAATATAAAGTTATGTGGAAGGGAAAAGTGTGGAAGAAAAAGGTGCACAAGCAGCAGGGATGACCGCAGCCTGGGGAGGATTGTCAGGAAAAGGCCATTCAAAAGTGTTGGAGACTTTCACAAGGAGTGGACTGAGGCTGGAGTCAGTGCATCAAGAGCCACCACACACAGACGGATCCTGGACATGGGCTTCAAATGTCGTATTCCTCTTGTCAAGCCGGTCCTGAACAACAAACAACGTCAGAAGCGTCTTACCTGGGCTAAAGAAAAACAGACCTGCTCTGTTGCTCAGTGGTCCAAAGTCCTCTTTTCTGATGAGAGCAACTTTTGCATCTCATTTGGAAACCAAGGACCCAGAGTATGGAGGAAGAATGGAGAGGCACACACTGCAAGATGCTTGAAGTCCAGTGTGAAGATTCCACAGTCTGTGTTGATTTGGGGAGCCATGTCATTTGCTGGTGTTGGTCCACTGTGCTTCATTAAGTCCAGGGTCAACGCAGCCATCTACCAGGAGATTTTGGAGCACTTCATGCTTCCTTCCGCAGACAAGCTTTATGGGGATACTGACTTCATTTCCCAGCAGGACTTGGCACCTGCCCACACTGCCAAAAGTACCAAAACCTGGTTCAATGACCGTGGGACTACTGTGCTTGATTGGCCAGCAAACTTGTCTGACCTGAACCCCATAGAGAATCTATGGGGCATTGCCAAGGGAAAGATGAGAGACAAACAATGCAGAAGAGCTGAAGACCGCTATTGAAGCATCCTGGTCTCCCATAAAACCTCAGCAGTGCCACAGGCTGATAGCTTCCATGCCACGCCGCATTGAGGCAGTAATTGCTGCAAAAGGGGCCCAAACCAAGTACTGAGTACATATGCATGCTTTTACTTTTCAGAGGTCCAATATTGTTCTATGTACAATCCTTGTTTTATTGATTGCATGTAATATTCTAATTTTCTGAGATTGTGGATTTGGGGTTTTCATGAGCTGTAAGCCATAATCATCACAATTATGACAAATCACAACTTGAACTATCTTGCTTTGCATGTAATTAGTTTATTTCATATATTTCACCTTTTAAGTTGCATTACTGAAATAAATGAACTTTTGCACGATATTCTAATTTTTCGAGTTTCACCTGTAGTTTCCCATCATTTGGTTTCTGTGGGAGAAAGTGCCCCATCATTTGGTGTCAGTGGGAGGAATATTGCCCCATCATTTGGTGGCAGTGGGAAGAATCGTGCCCCATCATTTGGTGGCAGTGGGAAGAATCGTGCCCCATCATTTGGTGGCAGTGGGAAGAATAGTGCCCCATCATTTGGTGGCAGTGGGAAGAATAGTGCCCCATCATTTGGTGGCAGTGGGAAGAATAGTGCCCCATCATTTGGTGGCAGTGGGAGGAATAGAGCCCCATCATTTGGTGGCAGTGAGAGCACATCCTTTGTATCCATGGGAGTAATGGTGCCCCATCATTGGTGCCAGTGAAAGGAATAGTGTTCCGTCTTTGGTGTCAGTGGAAGGAACAGTTCCCCAAGGGCCGGAGTAAATGGCCACATCCAGTCTGCGGGCCACAGTTTGGAGACCCCAGTACTAGAGGCATAGTTTATTATACAGAGTTCATCAATCTACCTCTCTTTCATTCACTGATACTTCAAAGCTGTATAGCTCCTCTTCCTAGTTGAATGACATCCAGGACCTTTTAATCCATTCATTGTCAGCCCTGGTTGCTAATGCTCCACCCTGGACACACAGGAGAATGCTGCAGAGAGCAGCACTCCATCATTATGGTGTGCTTCTCTCTTCAGCATTTGGGATCCCCCCACATCTGGAGGAAAAAGGGTGAGAAGAGGACCTTTTGATGTTACTGGACCAAAGGCACCTTGATTTTATCTATTTATTTTTCTTAGTGTCTGGCGTTCTCCAAAGGCAGTTTGGGGTTGGCAGGGCGGATGACCTGAGCTTGGAATTGGGCTTTGACCCTGTACACTTGGAGGTATAAAAGGATATGCTGACAAGGACATTGTGTTTCATTTAGGAGAGCATGTGGAGCTGGCGGAGAAGCATCACGCACTCTTGGTGTCTCTTGAACATCGGTATTATGGAGCCAGTATTAACAAAGATGGCCTCACCCTGGAAGGGATCAGATTTCTGTCTAGTCAGCAAGCGTGAGTATTGCATTGCCACATTATGAGGCTGTAATGGAGATTTAAAATGGATAGCAAATACCTTTACATACGCCGCAGGCCTATTTACATTATATTGCCAAAAGTATTGCGACGCCTGCCTTTACACACACATTAACTTTAATGGTGTCAGTCCGTATGGTTCAATATTTTGTTGGCGCACACTTTGCAGCTATAACAGGTTGAACTCTTCTGGGAAGGCTGTCCACAAGGTTTAGGATTGTGTCTATGGGAATGTTTGACCATTCTTCCAGAAGTGCGTTTGTGGTCAGGCACTGATGTCGGCCGAGAAGGCGTGGCTCGCAGTCTCCGCTCTAATTCATCCCAAAGGTGTTCTATCGGGTTGAGGTCAGGACTCTGTGCAGGCCAGTCAAGTTCCTCCACCCCAAACTTATTCATCCATGTCTTTATGGACCTTGCTTTGTACACTGGTGTACAGTCATGAAATTGTACAAAATGTCTTATTATGCTGAGGCCTTAAGAGTTCTCTTCACTGAAACTAAGGGGCCAAGCCCAACCCCTGAAAGGCAACCCCACACTATAATCCCCCCTCCACCAATCTTTACACTTGGCATAATGCAGTCAGGCAGGTCTCGTTTTTCTGGCAACCGCCAAACCCAGACAAGTCCATCGGATTGCTATACAGAGAAGTGTGATTGGTTACTCCAGAGACCACATCTCCACTGCTCTAGAGTCCAGTGGCGGTGTGCTTTACGCTACTGCATCCGACGCTTGGTATTGCACTTGGTGATGTAAGACTTGGATGCAGCTGCTCAGCCATGGAAACCCATTTCATGAAGCTCTCTACGCACTGTTGTGCTAATCTGAAGGCCACACAAATTTTGGAGGTCTGTAGCTATTTACTCTGCAGACAGTTGGCGACTTATGAGCACTGTGCGCTTCAGCATGCACTGACCCCACTCTATCATTTTACGTGGCCTACCACTTGGTGGCTGAGTTGCTGTTGTTCCCAGTCACTTCCACTTTGTTATAATACCACTAGCAGTCGACTGTGGAAAATTTAGTAGAAAGGAAATTTCACGGATGGACTTATTGCACAGGTGGCAACCTATCACGTTACTGCACTTAGAAGTCACTGAGCTCATGAGAGCGACCTATTGTTTCACAAATGTTTGTAGAAGCAGTCTGCGTGCCTAGGTGCCTGATTTTATGAACATGTGGCCATGGAGGTGGTTGGAATACCTGAATCCAGTTATTTGGAGGAGTGTCCCAATACTTTTGGCATTAGTGTATATAGGCTTCAGTATGAAGCCTGTTGTACCCCAAAAAGTTCCATGTAATGCAGCTGAAAGAGCTCCATGAGTGTAGGTGAACTAGTTGTGACTTGACAGGTCGTGACCTGGCTCCACCCTTTTTTTTTTTTTTTTTTTTTTTTTTTTTTTTTTTTTTGCTCCCCCCAGCACTCGGTCAACTTGAATGAGCCCCCTTAAGCTGGCCATACATTATATAACTTTCATGTTCAATTTTCTTTTAAATTTGCCTTCAACTTTGCAGTGCAGAGGCCTGTCTGATTGAATACAAATTGAAAGTGTTTAGGTTTGACCTCATATTATATGGTTTTGGTAAATCCTAAAGGAAAATTGTACAAGAAAAAAGTATAATGTATGGCCAGGCTTAGTCTCTCCATTTTTTCCAAATTAGGACTTCCAAGGCCAGTAATTTTGTAACGGTTTCTGCTCTATTAGACTTGCAGACTTGGCTTCCTTCCATTTGATCATCTCCCAGAAATACAATCTGACTAGGAACAACACTTGGATCTGTTTTGGAGGCTCCTATCCCGGATCTCTGTCTGCTTGGTTCAGACTGAAGGTGAGGTTTTAGCTCTGCACATAGTAGTAATGTTGGGTCAGTTTTTTGGATACAAAACGTCTGAGTGTGGGCAGCACAGTGACTTGGTGGTTGGCACAGATGCCTTACAGCAGTAGGTCCTTGGTTTGAATCCCAGCCAGGACACTATCTGCATGAAGGTAACAAGTTTTCCCTGGGCTTGTGTGGGTTTCCTCCAGGTACTTCGGGTTCTTCCGATGCTCCAAAGACCTGCTGATAGGTTAGTTGGCTAGTATGTGTCCTTTAGCAACAACTTTAGATCAGGAAATATCCATTTTTGTTGGTTTCTTTAAAAGATAAGTTCACCGTTGGGGACATGTTACATGTTCCACCCGTTGTTAGGGTGGAGCCTCTAACATGTTCCCATAGCTGCAGCCGTGCCTGCCCCCCCCCTCTCCTCTGACAGTATGGGGAAACTTCTCCCCGTATTATCTGTCAGATTTGAAAACTGCGCGGCTGTGGGGGACTCCGCCCACACGGCCGCTTCATTCATTCACGTACATCCGTGAATGAATGAACTGCAAGTCCCAACAGCCTTAGCAGCTGTCGGCTTGTAGTTTTCAGTGAACTACCAGGGCGCTATGGAGTGCTGTGGTAGTTCATTCAAGCCCCTTCTTCCCGTATGGCAAGCAGATATTCTGAGAGGTTTACAGGAGACCTGCATGGCATCAGTGATCTACTGATTGCTGGTGAAATGCTTTCCAGGCTCCTTTTGGACAAAAATAATAAATGCATATTTTGTTTTTTTTTTTTTAATTTTTTTAACCTGTGTACAAAAAAAAAGTGCCTTTTTTTTTTTTTTTTAATTATTTTTTTGTCCAAAAGGTGAACTTATCCTTTAAAATAGTTTGGCCAATGATCTTAACACGGTCATGATAGTAGAGTTAGGATGGGGAAAAAGGTCAGAGTGCAGTCAGAACTGTTAATCAACATACTTCTCCCCTAGGTCAATCATGCAGAACATTCAGAAGACTCTGCATCAGCATGGCAGCCAGGAAACTAGTATTTTCAAAAAGGGAGGTCACTGATTTGCAGCCTCCAAAATGCATGTGCATGTTTCCTGTAAAGTTTTTAGAGTAGACTTGCTGTTTCAGTCTTGTTTGAGTTAATTTCTTTTTATTAATTTTAATGGGAATAAATTGCAAGGAATTTGTTTATAGGGTCAACCAGGGGTGGACTGACAAGTCATCGGGCCCCCAGGCAATAGGGGATTATAGGGCCCCTGTGTCCTCACCCACACCTAAAAAAGCCTATGAAAGGTACTAGGGGCACCTCGTGGGGCCCCCTACTGACCCCGGGCAGTGCCCGAGTGCTCGAATGGTCAGTCCACCCCTAACCCATCCAAACGTTTAAATTTTAAGGTTGATGTCAACGGACTCATTCTTTGGGATCTCTTAGGGAATCTCATTGCACACATTACTATCTAAAATTCTTACGTGTTTCTTTTTAAGGTGACCTATTGAAATTTGTTACCAGTCAATATTGTAATTCTGTTCTTTAAAATTCACACAATCCTGCCACATAATATAGCCAGGAGGTAACATCACAGCTCTGCAGTTTTCAGTGTCGCCACTTCACATCCAGCATGCTTACTGCACTATGGAGAAGACTCGTTCCTTTGGTCAGAGCTTTCCTTTGCTCCCCCTAGGATGACCACATTGGGCAAATCCATGGGCTTGTCATGGCTGTAATTCTTGTTTTTAGTGTTCTAGTAAAGACTGATTTCTGGTAGTTCTATGAGCAGCATTTACAAACATCTGATTAAAATTTTAATAAATGTGTAACTCTCACACTAGTCTACTATTTTCCCCTGGACTCATGCTTCAGTAATACCTGTGTAATGTTTTGTTTTGTTGCAGTTCCCACATTTGGTTTATGCAGCCGTGGCCTCTTCTGCCCCTGTCAGAGCGGAGCTCGACTTCGTAGATTATAACAAGGTACTGAAACATCTTGGCAATGTTTTAGTAAAGGCTGATTCCACCCAAAACTATGCAAGCAAGTTGTTACATGTTCTGTCTCTCCAATCTAAGCATTGAAAGTGTGATCTCTGTTACTTACAGTTGTGATGAGATAGCGATAACTCCAATCTTATTTGAACAAACAGTGACTCGATCCAGACGACACCTTGTAGACCTTCAGAAGTTTATTCCATAAACTGAGAGAATCTTACAACGATGAACATCGGATAGGTCAAAAGATCATAATGTGATCTACTCCATAAGACATGAGGCTTGAAGCTGAGGGGCATTACTGGAAAGATGAACAAAGGGGTGGAGCTATCTATACAACATGAACTAAACCAAAGGAAAGGGAGGAGCAGAGACAAAATACAAAGAACACTTAAAGGCATATGACAATCGTGTGAAACATGACATTACATAAGAACTTCATCTCTGCTACCAATGTTAACAAGTTTACCTGTTGTGTTTATATGCTGCCTGTTTGTATGAGGCCCCGACCCCCTTTGCCGCTATGACATCAGATAAAATAATCCTATCTGCCTACTCCGTCTTCCTTGGAATGTACACTGAGCTGTGCATGCGCAGCTAAGTTTACATTCTGGCATGGTGCCTTTGGGGATAAGAATACAATACTCTTGCTATAAATGATAAGCAGCAAGCACTTTAAATATGTTCCCACATCAATAAATTCTTGGGCCGAAAACCTGCACCGGCAGCAAGAGAGAAGATGCCGGTACCAGCGAGGGACCTCGTGGGTGTTGCACTGTTAAAGCAAAGTTGAGTGACGCTTACTTTAGTTCCACTTGAAGATGATACAAATAGTAATACATTGAGTAAACCCTAAATGTTAAAGGATATGTTAACCTTTGGGGACATGTTCCACCCGCTTTTTAGGGTGGACCCGCTTTTTAGGGTGGAACGTGTTCCCACTCCTGCAGCGGCATGGCAATCCGAGCCCTTTGTGTGACAGTAGTACAGGGAGAAGTTTCCCATACCAGATGTCACTTTTTGAAAAGAGCACAGTTCAAAGTTTTGTGAATGAATCCCCTACAAGTACCATCATCCTTCGTAGCTGTCCGCTTGTAGTTGTCAATGAACTACGACAGCGTTGTTGGTTGAGCGCTCTGGTAATTCATTGATTCTCCCTGTCAGTGTAAAACTGTCTGCCCATAAGATGTACAGGCAAATAGATTACACTGACAGTCTACAAGAGTCCTGCATGGCACCTGCGATCTGCTGATCTCTGGTGCAATGCTTTCCAGGCTCCTAAAACAAAGAATAGTAAATTCACATTTTTTTTACCTGCAAAAATATGTGCATTTCTTATACTTCTTTTTTTTTATTATTACAAATATATTATTTAAAAAAAAAATTCTTTTTAGGTAAACTTATCTTTTAAGGCTTTACCATTCTAATTCTTTAAGAAAAAGGTCCAGATTATTGCAGATGCCCATCGTTTGTTAAAGAAACGGGTTCCATGTTATAAATGTTGTTTGTCTTTTCACAGGTGGTAGCTAACAGCTTGTCGGACCCAGTCATCGGAGGATCTGAAAAGGTACAGTGAATGTGACCCTGTTATATTGTAGCTCTATGTTCCCATTGCTAAGAAGCTCTCTGCTGGTCCAACTTTAAATCAGATGTGGTCTTTTCACTTTATTTTAGATACACATGTAAAAAAAAAAAAAAGATCAGTTTGCTTTGTATAATGCTTCAGCAACCTATTGATGTATAGTTTGTCATTATATCCATACATGGGGGCAGCCATATATGTTTAATATGCACTTTGGTTCTGCTTACTGCTACACAATGGTTGAGCTTCATTTCACAATGCAAGTCTATAAATCAGATTATTCATTGGTTTTTAAAGAGTATGTGAACTCTATCAATGAACGTTCTCTTAGTTGCTTCCTTTTTGGTCTGTGAAATATACCCTTGGAAGTGTTCTGGTATATCTCTTCAAAAAGTGCACAAAAATTACAATCTTGTGATCTGATCACTTCCTGTGTTCATGGAGGGGTTATGGAGATAAGGAGGGTCTCTGTTTCATCCGATATTAAATAGGCAGGGCTGACACCACTTGCTTAGGATTTTAGAGCTGTGCTGTCATGTCAAAAAGGAAGGTAGGAGCATACTCTATTTCTGGCATACTTCATAAATTTTATATTCCCTTGGCATACATTTTATACTCTACAGAGCCTCCTACAGTGGCAAAACTACAAATCTATATATCAAATCACTAGGCATCAGTAATATATTATTATACAGGATTTATATAGCGCCAACAGTTTGCGCAGCGCTTTACATTGTAAATGTTGTATAGATCTGTGATGGCTTTACACTCGGGCTCCGTTCACACCCAGGTGGTTTGAATTGCGGACAGAATCGCTGCGATTCTACCTGCGATTTCAAAAAGCTCTTCGGAAAAAAAAATGACAAAACTCAACGCGAATTTCAGATGCCATTCATTTTAATGGAACCTAAAAATGTGCAATTGTTGGACTGGATTATATATTTAACATTATAGACACGGTAACACGGGGACCCAAAACTACAAAGAACGGAGTGGACAATTGCGTCAGGGAGAGCTCACTGTTGGAATATCCATGCCAGGGGCTGACTGAATCCAATAGGTTTCACCTAAACCAAACTTGCCACTTTTGGGTGGGCTGATCCTTAGAAAATATGGAAATACACTTAGCTGATCCCATACGAAAATATCTTACATAAGTGCAACAAGCCTAGGTTTATTTCCATGTAGGAAATAACAATCAAGCATCTGCTAAAGAAAACCTGTCTATAGCCATCCTCAGCCTCTAACTCCTGATGGGAGCCTTGGATATGGCAATCACTGATCTGGGCTCAGGAGTGGTGCTACTTCCAGGGCACAGCACACCCTTGCAGCATCACAGTGATCTACCTCTCCTAGAATCAGGGCCACTTCCAGGAGCCAGGCAATGGAAGGTAAAAATTATCTATAGCTTATCTAACAGGAATGTGAGGTTTGGGTGCAAAAGAAGTCTTATTTATTAAGTGCTTAATCCATGTGATTGGTTGTCCGTGTGGTCACATGACTGGCAAAAGTTCATCACATAAACATTTACAGACACAGCTCCCCATGACAAGGTAGTGCAATTCTAAATTCCACATTGGCAGCTGGTAGTACGCAGAGGTATGTAAAGATATTTGTCAGACTGGGCTGTCATTGACTGCTCTGGTACCAATCAGCATCATTGCTGATCAAGGGGATCAGAATAACAGCTGTCTAGAATTTTTCCCTTTTTTTTTTTTTTTTTTCTTCCTGTGTGCCCTCACTGCACATAAATAAAAATACCATGCAATGTTAAAAATAAACAAATAAAACATTAAAAACCTTTTTTCATATTTTTTGGCCATTTATTAGCCTAAATTTTAAAAAAAACTGAGCAGGTTATTAAAATATGTCCTTTAAAAAAAGAAAAAAAAATGGTAGTATGATTTAATTTAGCTAGGCAAATCATCTTAACGCTCTTGTCAATATAACTCCTGCACATCGACATTGCTATATTTGGTCTGGGCTTCCAGCCATCGATGACCTGATGCAAAAGCAAGCATTATGGAAGGGAATTCTTTTACATATGTAAATGTCACCTCAACAAAAATTACTTTAAACAACGCTGTAGCAAATCAAAATATGTACTCATTGAAAATACACTTTACTGTTGCTTTAAATGCTTTTTACGTGCTGGGGGGGACCAGTGGAATTGAACGAGGACCGCATTGCAGTGTTAGCGCAGACTGACATAACTATTGGCATTCATTTTAGCAGTATGCAGCTAAAAGTGAATTATCTGTTGAACTCCTGTCTATGTTGCACCAAATGTTTGCCAGGGAGCACTTGGCAGCGAACTGTGTACAGCACTTTCTTTGGACAGTCATATGCAATCCCATCAAAGGAAATATTCCTGTAAAGTTTACATTAAATTATTCCTTGATGGCAATGTTACATTTTTACTTGCCCAACTAACCCTTAGACCAGGGTTCCATAGAACTCTAGGGTTCCTCCAGAGGATGCTTGGGGTTCCTTGTGCAATGAGCAATTTTTACCTCTTGGATAATTTTTCCCTCTGACATTTAATAACTTTTAGCTATCTATAAAGGGGGGGAATTCTTCCCAATGACCACAAGTGTAAGGAGCTTTCTTCCCCCCTCACCACCCACTACCCGAAAGTTATTTTGAGGGTTCTTCTGTATTGAAACGGTTGAGAGGCGCTGCCTTTCAACCACCATTCATTAGTCCTGAAATTTTACTGTGCACTCTCCGAACCTGTGGTGGGGCTATCCCTGGAGCCTTTCCCGATTTGCAGCATGCACTTATAGAAGTCTTTGGGGAGCAAGTCCAAGGGTGCCGAAACACTTGCATATGACTGTATTTGTGGACGCAACGTAGTGTAAATAATCCGTGAGTGTTAACCCCTTGCCGATCGCCTCATGTATGTGTACGGCAACAGAACAGCTCTCTTGCATTGGATCACGTATCTGATATGTGATCCAGCCCTTTCAGGTAGGGGCGCGCGTGCCGCTTCAGCTGTGCTGTGATTAGTCACAACACAAGCTGGTCATCGACTCTTGGCCAATGATAGCCGGCCAGGACCTGCTGATCAGCGAAGAGGAAGACAGAACAGAGCTCTGTGAATGTAAAAAACACAGACGAATGGACAAGTTTTCTTTGAATATTACAAGTCAATTGAATAGCGTTTTTGGTTTGTGCTGCTCAGATGCAATGTAGTTCAACTTGAATGTTTTGCAAGTTCTGTATCTGTTCTGTAAATATTTGCACATGGCGGCAGCCATACTTGTATACTGTATATGGGCTCTGCTCCCTGTTTAGTAATACTAAAAGGTGGATTTTATTTATTTATTTTTGTGAAAGTCAGTGTGGTCAGGTCTAATTTGATTAGCCCCTTCACGCCTAAGCGTAAAACAAATCTAAATGCCTAAGCACAGTTTTGCAACGTTGACATGTGTTAGTAAAACTGTACATATCATCACAACTACTTTGTAGATCCAGGTGAATTATACCACGTTTTTTTCAGGACAAATTGGGCTTTCATTTTTTTTTTTTTTTTTATTATTATTAAAGGAAAACTGGCCCAAAATAGTAAAAAAAAAAATCATTTTTTTATTTAGCTGTGTGTTTCTTGTTACTACCATAACCTACCACCAAAGAACAACCCAAAATAATTTCTCCAGCTCTTGACGATTGCAGCGATACCATATATTTGTATGTTATTTGTTTTTTGTACCCGTAGTACAGCCCAGAAACAATAGTGCACATTTTGTTTTTGTCTTTTACATAAAACGCACTGATACCCAATTTTTCTTTTTTTTTTTACATTGACCCAAACACATACCCTGGCACTGAACTAGATCAAACCTTGATCTAGGTATATTTCTTTATTTTTTTGTTTTATTTTTTAATATTTATCTTTTTTTTTTTTTTTAAACATTTTTTTTTCCCTCTATGCCAGGACTTGGAGAGATGCAATGTATCTCTCTCCTTCATTCATAGAGAAAAAAAAAAGGGGGGCCAGGCTGTACAGTGACTGATCACTGTGATAGCCAAACAGAGGCTATCACAGCGATCATGTGACCCGGAATCGGGAGTCCCGGGTCCCAATGGTTAGAACGGGACCCGGGGCTCTCAGTGACACCCCGGTCTTTGTGCTGGGAGCGTGCTGTGTGGCACGCTCCCAGCAGAAAGACATTTACGCAAATATGCGGCCCCACGGAAAAAAGCCCAGTGCTGTGAGACCGCATATTTTGTGTTATGTTGGCATCAAGGGGTTAAAAATAAAAATACTCTATATAAGGCTATGATTGTAGAATGTGATTGCATCGTGTGTTACCAGCCTAAAAGCCGTGCCTTGCTTTCTCTGCAGTGTCTGAACGAAGTGAAGGAGAGTTTCCGAGTAGTGGAGTCTCTTCTCAAAGCGGGAAATATTACTCAGCTAGAGAAAGATTTCTTCTCCTGTGCTTCCCTCCACCCACCCGATGACTACACTGAGTTTGTCAGTAATCTGGCCGACATATTTATGGGTGCTGTGCAGTACAACGACGAGTCTGCAGGTAGTGATGTCAGGAAAATCTGCAAGTATATGCTTTCAGCAAGCTCTGTCTATGAAGGACTGAAACTTTTAAACTCGGTGAGTACCACTATAATTCCTTTGACAATGGCAGGCAATGCACATTTTAGATTCGTGACTACCATGCACAAGAATTTCCATATATTTATACAGATCAAATGCTGTTTTACAAAAGGCGTTCAAGTCAAACTGGGACTTTTGAGTTGATATAATAAAAGAACAAATTCAAGAAGTGTAAATTGCATTTATTTTTCAACATTCTCCCCTGCTAACTAATGATTGGAAAGCTTAGACACGGAGCGATTTGTCAGTACGCCTGAACCAACCTAGGACAGCCTGCTTTACTTCGTCATTCTTGTGTTCTCCGCTCTCACAGAAAGATTCATCTCTTGTGCAGTTTCACAACAGGTTATGTATCCGTTATCCAGGATCAGGCGTTCCATGTGCTGAATGTCCACAGCAATGACTGCTGTGGGCTGGGAACCACCCCGGCCGGGATCATCAAAAACATAAAAATGAGCAAAACATTACTGGTTGGAGTTATTACTGCAGATAATAGAAGGCTATATGTGAACACAATAAGTAGTCCTAAATGTCACTGTAGGCAGAGAATGACAAAGATGGCCCATGAGCATCTCACAAGAACGAACAATTCATGGGTCATGAGTGTTACTGAATCCAATTGTAACAATAAATATATAGCAAAGAAAGAATGGGAAAATGAAATGTGAGAGCCTACAAAAACAGGAGGCCATAAAGGAGTGATAGTGAAAGCTAAGGAATAAGTATAATCGGTAAATGAGGGGGGGGGGGACACATTGAGAATACCCAGAGCAGCACTGAAAAAGTTCCAGTGCTTATAAGGAGGTATAGCTTGTTATAGGCATTGAGGGATGGGCATATCATATCCACGGAGTCCACACCACAAGAAATGTTGTCCTTTTTTTTTTTTTTTTTTTTTTTAGTAGAGACTTGAGCTTTGAAAATATTAGATATGGGTTGCACAGAAGAAGATGCAGAGGGTGCTTACAGCACATCATCTAGAGAGGGTATACAGTATACCTTGGGTGATGAGCTGAAAGGGTTGTAGTCAGTTGTTGCCATCTCTGTCCTGGAAGTTGGCATACCTACATCTTAAAGTGTTACTAAACCCAGAACTATGCATTCCCTTTATCTCAGTGGTGCTCAACCTGTGGGTCGTGACCCCTTTGGGGGTTGAACGACCCTTTCACAGGGGTCGCCTAAGACCATCAGAAAACACATATTTCTGATGTGTAAAGAGCAGCTGCTGTGTTGAAAGCAGCTAATCTGTTAAAAGCAGCTACTGTGTTGAAAGCAGCAGTATTGGAGGTAAAACAACACTTCATGAATTATAATTACTGGGTAAACATTGTTATGGTTGGGGGTCACCACAACATGAGGAACTGTATTAAAGGGTCACGGCATTAGGAAGCTTGAGAACCACTGCTATATCTGGTCTGGAAATGCAATTATTTTAGTAAATATAAACTGCTAAATACCTTTTCTCATCAGCAGTTGGAGCAGTCTTGTGACTTCTATCACTGTCCAGTCGAGCACTGGTTAAAGCTTGTAGGAGGAGTTTTCATTTTGCTCTAGGAGGGTACAGAACCCCTGACCTCTGTCTGGACAGTGCTGATTGGCCCTGTGCTGATCACATGCACTCTCCCAAGGAAAAAAAAAACTCTCCAGTATTACACACCAAACTTAGCATGTGCAGTGTCTCCACACAATATGTCTTATCAGAAGATAAGAGGGGGACACTGAAAGAAGGGGAGGATCAGAGAAGTCAGGATCAAACAGCCTTTTTATGCAATGTAAAGGATTAACCCCTTAAGTTCCACAGTAAGTAGTAACAAGCATGCCTTACTGCATATACAGACTGATTTTACTGTTGTGGGTTTAGTAACACTTTAAGTGTGCAGGGTCAACATACAGGCAGTGATGTTGTCAGTGGCCATTTCAGAAATACTCTTAAAAAGACTAATGCCACTCTCATTACAGTACTATCTCATGTAACTGTACCTGCACATAAATGCTGTTGTAAGGGATTGCTGGAGAACGTTCACATAAAAATGAGAGCAATAAAGATCTTACAACAGTCTCTATGAATGGGTACTGTTAGATGGGGTAGCAAAAAGAATTAGAGGGTTTTTTTGAGGGACAGTGGAATGTCAGAATGACCTAAAGTGGTGATACCATAATATTAGTTTTTTCATTGTATTTATAATGCGGAGATGTCCCTGAGTATGATGCTTTAGAAGTGCATTTTACATGTAGCCTTCGGAAAGTCCCACTCTACTCAATCATTTCTGTTCCTGCAAATACAAAAGGGTCAAATTTTAATGTGTTTTAACCTTTTTCTGAAATATTGAAAAGATGGGTGAACAACAAACACTTTCCTCACCCCCTGGTCCCCACTGTACTTGCCTCCGTGGGTGATGAGTTGTCAGTGCCCATGCGGTCAAAGCAGCAGTCCAGGGATTTGAAATCCCTGCTCCTCTCTCCTCTTCTCACTGTAGTACTTACAGGAGAGATGCTCTGTGCTGATGCTGGCCAATCAGAATCACTCTGATCTGTCTGAGAAGTGCTGCAGAAAAAAGAGGGAGAATAGTGGGGATTTCAAATCCCAGGACCCATGCAACAGCTGCATGGGCACCGACAGCTTGGCATCCATGGAGGTAAGTACAGCAGGGACCAGGGTGGTGGGAAAGGTGTTCACCTTTTCAGAAAAAAGAAAGAGATGGACTAACACTTCAAGTTATGAGGGATGGGCAAAGGTTTATCACATGATACCCCTTTAAGGGGAATAGAAAAAACTGCCCTGCAAGCATTGGTGGCTGGGCTATTATATAAAATCTGGAGCAAAACTGGCAGCTGGTCTATTTGATAATTGGAAGAATAATTGTCAGTATCTTTACTCTTCCAGATGTTCATGGATTCAATGGGGATGAAATGTGTGGAAAACTCCCACGAGAAAACTTTGTCAGACTTGAAAAAGACAGAGCTGGATCCAGTGGGAGTTGGGGAGCGGCAGTGGTATTACCAAACATGCACAGAGTTTGGATACTGTAAGTGTTGAGCTTTAATGCACACAAAACTTTAATTGTAGTTACCAGATGTAGTAATTTTTTTTTTTTTTTTCATATCATTGTATCCATGCTTTCCTCCCACAGATCAGACCTGTGAACATACTTCTTGTCCTTTTTCGCCCCGAATAACTCTTCAGTCCCAGCTGGACCTCTGCACAGAAGTGTTCCAGATCCCGAAAGAGTCGGTCTTCCAAGCTGTCCAGTTTACCAATGAATTTTATGGAGCTGATCACCCAAAATCCAGCCGGATAATCTTTGTTAACGGTATATCAATTTTAAGAGTAATTAAGGATGATCTAATTTAAAACAAAACCGGGAAAAAGCAGTCCTCTGTAGGTTAACTACTGCAAACCCTCATCTGAATTTGTTGTGTAGATGTTAAGGCAGGCCATGCCTAAAATGAGTGCTTAATAGGAGGTTCCTCTGTTTATTATAATCAAATGATCATCCCTTATGTTGTAAAAAGAAACCTTGCATTACCTCCACCTATAGACATGCAGCACCCTGTGCTGTAAACTGTAAACGTAAAGGTATTGCTGGGAATCTCCTACTCCATGCACAGGCTGCCTGTTATTTGGCATCAGATTTTTGGGAGAGGCAGCAAGAGGAGATGAGTATCTTGCCAAATGTTGCTGTATTAGTATCATGGTTGCAAGGAAGGGATGTTCTAGAACATAACTGGATGCATATTCAAAGAAAATGTAATTTTTGGTAACAGTGTGTAGCATATGAAGCCATTTTTCAAATTTCTATCTATCCTAAAAACATCAAACTAAATTTCCCAGCTCACTTACCAGCCAACCTGCAACAAACCGAATTAACCCTGTATTAACAGTTCGTGTTAAAACAAGGGGTTTAGTTGGCACACATTTGCAAATATATTTCACCAATTTGCCAACAGTACAAACAAATGGCAAACCACCCCAACCTATAACTGGCCATTGCAGCAAGGAGCACATAGAAGGGTGACGCATGTCAAAAAACAACTAATACAAATTCCCAGCTTACTTGCCATCAGCTCACTTGCTAGTATAGGTTCTTGCTGTGTGCTTTCTGAAGGTGTTCTTGCTGTGCACTTTCTGAAGGTTTTCGTGCCTGCAGTCACACTATCCACTGATCTTAGAGTCTGCTCAGTCCTAAAGGTCCTCCTTGGCTCTGTCAGGTGTGGCTGGGTCCTCTCCACTTTCAGCTGAGATTTTTACCATGTCCATGCAAATTTTTATGACCCAAGTAATCCAGTTATTTGCTGACTCGCAGATGCCACAAGTGCGCTGCTGCGCCCTCTCCTGCAGAATCCATGTCTGATTTGTCAGCAGCCCAGCAGTTTTCGAGCCAACAACCACAGAGGGGTTAACTACAGCTCATTCAGGATAGATTTAATTTCCAGTTTGGAAATCAATGTGATGGCAGATACTCCACAGACTTTATCCTTCAACAGTATCACCTTCACCTCCTCGATGCTACAGCTGCACTAGCTCTCCTCCCTAGGTTTTCTTTCCTCTATCCCCACGTGGCGATCTGCCAAGCAAGTCTGTGGCTTTTCCATAGAACAAGCACTCCAGTGTGCTGCAGGATAAGGAGATTCGATCAAGAAGGGTGCCCACCTTGTCCTACTTGGTTGGCTTAGGGAGTTTTCCAACCAAAGAGCGGGAAACACTCACTTTGGCGATGTGCTAATCGCTCAATCCAGCAGTTCAGGCTAGGAACGAATACACCAAAGTAATACTGTATTCTTACTGCATCAGCAATGGCCACATTGATGTTTTTCAAGATTTTCAATCCCACTGTTAACACGGCAGGCTGGGGATCTCATTCCGGTGAATGGTATCCTCCCTTTTTTTTTTTTTTTTTTTTTTTTTTTAGCCCACAGTAAAAAGGAGCTCAGTGTTAGTGGGTGAGTAAGTGATTGGAAACATCTTGACAAGCTGTTTGCTCTCACTAAAGGCTTATTATCCTATCTATTTAGTGAGAATTTTGTATAGAAGTGGTCTATTCCCACTGTGGATATGGCAGTGTCCCACCTTAACAGTGCTTACCATCCTGCATATGAGAAACCAATAAGTGGTTGGAAACCCTTTTTATAGAGCCCTGTGCTTGCTGGTGGGCCTTGCCCTTCACATTGTTCTGACTGAAACCTTACCATGTCTGACTGGTCAAAATCTCTTTACAAAGATCTCATTGTTGCCAGGGTTGTTCCTGTACTTAAATGATATGTGGAGGAGAAAGCTGTAGCATTCAATATCAGTTGAGAAAACCCTTTCCATTTAATTTGTCTCATGTCAGTTTAAATGTGTAGGGTATCTTGGGTAAAATGCTAGACTGCAAAACCCCTTTTTAAAAAAATGTTTAATTCACATGTCCTTCAAAAGGACAGCATCTCTTCAGACCAGAACCTGACTGTATTATCAAGGATGCTACTGGTGGCAGGAGCATCCATTTTCCCCAGCAGAGGAAACCTAAGGAACAGACTGCAAAGTCCTTCCTTCCTGCCTTTTTGGAGGATCCTCACGATGGTCATCAGCCTGTTGGGGAGATGAGTGGTCCTGAGCAACCTGTTAATGCAGGGGGTTCGCAGGAATCTCCTCTTCCAGTCAATATCCTGAAACGTTTTGGATGACTTGGCAGTCTATAGCATTGGACGATTTACTGGAGGGTGATTTGATCCAGATTCTGTTGGACAATGCAACAGCAGGGGTGTACAGCAATCATTGAGGAGGAACTAGAAGTTTCACCACAGCAATAAATGTAAATTGGATCCTGTTCTGGGCAGTGCATCATGTTCCAGCCTTTTCAGCCATGTACATTTTAGGCATAGATAATTTTGGAGGTTGGCTTCCTCAGCTGGCAGTGCTTAAACACAGGAAAGTGGTCCCTACACCTAGTGGAAGTAGTGTATGCTCTGGTGTCTTAGTAGGATCATTACCTCCTGATGTATGCCTTTTCCTGCTTTGCAGTATCAAGAGGGATTCTGGTAATCCTAATTGATCAGGAATAGCCCATATAGATGTTGCAGGCCGATCTGGTAAGACTCCTGGTAGACAGTTCATGGGATTCATCAGAACATTTAAGATCTTATATCCCAAGAACCAATTTTCCATCCTTCACAGTCCTTGGCTTCAACGACATGGCTGTTAAAGCCCAAGTTCTGAGAGAGAGGTGTGTCTCTGTGTTTGTGATTCCTACAGTGCTAAAAGATAGGATTCTACTTTTTGTAAGGTCTATAACTAGACATGGAAGGTATACTTCACTTGGTGTAAGCCTCAGGAAAATCTCTATATGCAGCTGTGTCTGAACCAGCTTCAGGCTTTCAGCACCATCACCATCGTCCGGTTTCAGCCCTTTTTATTCTGCTTCAGCGTACATTGGCCTCTCACTCGCTTAATAAGACCTTTTGTTCAGAAGGTCCCCATGTAGTTCCTTCCCTTAAGTCTATTCCAATCTATGGGATTTTATTCTGGTTCTCTTTGCTTCTGATTATCCTTTTGACTAGCCTACATATTTTTTTTTTTTTTTCATCGGTGTCCAGTCCTACTGTATGCGGCAGTATAACCCAAAGATTTAAGACTTCCTATGTCCTTCATTGGATTCCCAGAAAAACAATTTACTTTGAGTAAAAAAAAATTAAATTTTTTTCTTTCTTGTTCAGATATTTTGTTTTTATCTATATTTTGCATTTTCATTTAATGTCCTGAATATCTCATTACTAGGTGATGTGGATCCCTGGCATGCACTCAGTGTACTGAAGAATCAGTCTCACTCGGAAATTGCCATCTTCATCAATGGAACAGCCCACTGTGCAAATATGTATCCATCGGATGCACAGGATCCTCCATCTTTACAGAAGGCTAGAGAGGTGAGGAAATATTTTATGATGAAGTCATCAATTTCGTACATTTAAATAACAAAAAAAAAATTTACTCTGCTGAGCACTAGGGATGGGCTTGATGTTTGAGTCAAACATCGGCCGTTTGTGTGCTCGCCGAACACACGATCGGTAAGGGCGTTCTGCGGGCTGTTAGCTCCGCCTAATTGCTTACATCTGACCCGCAAATGTCAGATTTCAGCAAGACTGCATTGTGACAATGCTGGACTCCATGTTTGACGATGGATTACAACGATGGAACAATTTTTTTGGCTTTTGATGCTAGTAAGCTCCCCTGCCCATAGACCCCCACAATCACTGGGCCAGGGTTGTGGGAAAGAGGCCTTTGTCGCCATCAGCATGGAGACACCGTCCACATGCCAGGGGCACATGGCTTGGTAAGCTACAGGGAGAAGGGGGGGGGGCTCCTTTTTCTCCCCCCTTCCTTTCCTGCCCTGCCAGGCCTGTGCTCAGATCAAGGGTCTGGTAGGAAATTAGGAGGGTACCCATGCTTTTTACCCCCATTTTGGGGGGCTGAGGTTCCCCTAAAAGTTTTACCAGGCCTAAAGGGTCCCTACCAACCTTCCTACCATACCTAAAGGGTGTTTTTTTTTTTTTTTTTTTACTTTTAAGCAATGAAAAAAGACTGCCCCTTTAAAAACGGTACTCTTTGAATCTTTGAGAGTAAGCAAAGTATAAAGTAAAACAGAAGCAAGGATAAGATCGGGGACACTCCATCATGGCCGAGAGGAATTGGGGATCAGGTCTTTGGCCCAGACCTGAAATTCAGATGAGAAGTGGAACATAGACCAGGTGTGGGAAGAAATTTTAATTTTTTTTTTTTTTATCATGAAACAAAAAATTGTAATGTAGTTTTAAGTTCTTAATCCACAAACTGATCTTGTGTGTTTTTTTTTTTTTTTTTTTTTTTTTTTTAAATTAACCCCTTTCACTCTGCCTCCTGGCGGCCTTTTATGGGGCCTTTACCGTTGGGAGACGGTGCAACTTGTCTATCAGTGATATCACTGTGAGAGCCAATCATGCTGGCTTCTGATCAGAAGCCATGACCTAGAGACAGCTGGTCTGCATGCTCCATCGATATCCTCAGGAATGAACGTCAGGACACTGTATACACATACCATATGTGTGGTACTGGGCCACTTTTTCTGTTGCTGCAAATAAGTGTTGCCTGCTCAACAAAAGGTTAATTTGTTGCCTCAGTATAGCTGATGTATCTTCCTGCAGACCTAGTGCCATGGCACACTAGAGATTCTGTTGTCCATTTAATGAACATCTAAACTAACCTGCATTTATTTTCTCCCCTACAGGAAATTGCAATGCAAATTGGAGAGTGGCTGAAATCTGCACGCGAGGAGTCTTAGCCTTTTTTAAAGTTCTGCACTAAGATAACAAGACGATGAAGAGCCAAAGAACATTTTTTTGTGTGCACTGGAAATTTTTTAAAACACTCACTAGCTATTTACCAAAAATATTTTTAGATTTGATTTTAAAAACAATATTTCCATTTAGAAGCAACCATTTCATATGGGTAGGGGGCAACTGAGAAGGCTGTAGGCAACAAATACTTGATTTACCTGTTTAGAGCCATGAAATTCCTCTGGCTATATTGGGGGTCAACGCCACTTGGCGAATGGGACATCCTCTGATGCCCAGATAGGTGTAAGCAGGGAAGGTTAGAATGTGAGGGAGGTATTCTCAGAGTTTATAAACCATATGGCCATGTCCCTCCAATCATGGATGTTCTGCTACTGAATGGAAGTATTCCTCTGGAGACTGTGCAATAATGCTCCATTTTATTATGGTATATTTTGTTTTTATGTCATTCTAGCTTTTCTGATGGGACAACCAAAGGAAATAATTTTTGAATGTGAAAATTGTCAACTGGCAGTTATTTTTTTTATTTTTTTTTATTATTTAAATTTTCTGACATGATGCCAAGGTGTGGAAGGACAATGGATTATTGCTTAGAAAGACGTTAACAAGACCCACTCATTTGGCTATAATAAATAACATGGTAAAAAAAATAGTGATGTGCAGAAACCCATAGCAACCAATTAAGGTGTTAACGTCTATAGAGCAATGGAAGTATTATATTTGACTTCACACCTTTATTCAAAAATCCTAAATATCTCATAACTGTTTACACTTTACATGTGACTGTTGTGCTTGCACAGTTTTTTTCTTATCTTCTCAACTCAGGTTTTATGATAAAAATGAATCTTTTAGGAAAAAAAAAAGCTTATTATTAAACATTTCCAACAAAGGGTGTTGTGGCTGATCATGTTGAATAGATTGGTGGGTAAACAGTGCTGGATTGGGGCAGGTAAAATGAGTCATGGCCTGCATTTGCTTGGTTTTAGGGGGCAACAGACTTTTTTTTTTTTTTTTTTAATGCAAGTCTATGGAAATAAATTAGGAAGATAGGAAGTAGAAAACCTTCTCTGTGCAGCAGCTCCCCCAGCCCCAATACTCACCTAAGCCCACTCTCGATCCAGCGATGTGCACTGGCAATCCCAGGACTCCCTTCTCCTCATTGCCTGAGACAGCAGTAGCGGGAGCCATTGGCTCCCGCTGCTGTCAATCGCAGATAGCCAATGAGAAGAGGTGGTGGGGACAAGCCTCAACTCCGTGTTTGAGTGGACACAGGGAGCAGCGGGTGCCCCCATAGCGAGCTGTTTGCTCTGGGGAACACCCGACAGCAGGGAGGGGTAAGGAGCGCTGGCAGGGGCCCCGCAACAAATAAGATCTGGCCTACTCTGTGCAAAACCACTGCAGAGAGCAGGTAAGTAGGATGTGTTCATTATTTAAAAAAAAAAATGTAAGCTTTTAATATCACTTTAATAGTGATGAAACATTTCACCACATGCAGAATATATTTTTTTCTGGTCCCTATTGTCTGCTGTTTGTCTTATGCTGTCACCAGGAAAGGAAAATTATGGTAAGAATTGTTAAAGCGCAGCTACAGTCAAAATGTAAAAAAAATAGTCAGCAGCTACAAAAACTTTAGCTGCTGACTTTAAAAAAAGACACTCACCTGTCCCCCAATCCAGTGGTGTACTTACCGCTGGTTTCATCGGCTGTCTTCTCCCCTCGGCATCCTAAGTGCAGGCACCCGGGTGTGACAGCTTGCGGCTTCATAGCCGGGTGCCCACTGCGCATGCGTGAGTAGTGCTGTGAATGGGGGAGGAAGGACAACTGCTGCCGATCGCCTAGGCGATTGCAGCGGAAGTAGGGACAGATACCTGTCAAAATTGGGTACCCACTCCCCAAAAGTGTCAATCCTTAATGGGGAGAGGGGAACAAGGCTGTAAAAGCAGAACTTTCCATTTTGGGTGGAACTCTGTTTTTAAAGTTTTGCCGTATTTAAATAAGTATAGGTTAACTAAAAAAAAAAAAACAATTTTTACACACACACCTCTATAGATAGATGAAGCTTTGATCATGTCAGTCACTGTTTTCAGAACCTGGACTGGCTCTGTAAGTCAGCCAACATCGGGCTTTAGCCCACTGTGGCCTGAAAATGGAGTGCAGAACGAACCAACTCCTGTGATCCCAAAAGATCATTGGCTATACTTCTCCTTTAACATGTACAGAACTGTGCGTACACATTCTGTGGTCATAGAGGGGAAAATTGTGGCCTTGAGTGTAGGGTTAACATTTGGTCAGTACAAAATGGACAATGTATTAATATGAAAAAAAATTATAGAGCTGGTATTTTTATACAGAAAAAGTGTCCAACTTACCTGAAGGACACCTAGCTGATATCCAGTACTGATTACCATTCACTGCCCTATTTGCTTAAAGTGCATCTAAAGGCTCCTGTATGCCAAGTATCAAATCCAGTTACAATGTGATGCACAAGCTTCGTAAAGTAAATAAAATACCCGCCTTCATTTGTGTCACACATATTCCCCCTCCCAGACACTGCAGCTCATAGTGGGATGGCTCATGCTACATACAGCTTATACTGCACTGACTGTGGATGCATCTGTTAGTAAAGGAAATAGGATGGGAGTCCAAAGCAGTGTGGTGGGGGTTACGTATTGGATATGGTGGTGGATGCTGTTGCTGGCTAAGTGGTGAGAGCCAAGCAGGGTAGGGTATGGTAGGGTCATAAGAACATAGGGGTGTGGTAGTGTGCTACCAGAGAGTGGAGGTGAGATGCACAAGTAGGATGGTGAGAGTAGGGGGAAGGGTGCTGTACTGGCAGATCAGTGACAATAGGGATAGGGGGGGAAACTCAGGTGACAGTGTCTGTGAGGAAGGGGGGAGTCCTGCCAGTACAGCTTCATGTCCTGCTTTATCCTGGTAGAGATTCTAAACCTTCCTCGCTCTAGGACAGTGGTCTCCAACCTGCGTCCCGAGCCCAGATGTGGCCCTTTGTTGGTGTTGGTGGATGAAATATTGCTCCAAGGGCAGTCTAAAAACAAGCAAAGGGGCACAATTCCTCCCAATAACACCAAAGATGGGGCATTGTTTACTCCCACTGTTGTTGGGACATTTTATACTTCCAATGGCCACAGTTGTAAACCGGACCTTTCTTTGAAAAGCCTGGAGACCCCTGCTCTAGGAGATTAATTTTGCTGCCCAAGGAGGGATATTTTCTCTAACTTCCTATTATGTCAGGTCATGGCTTTTTTTTTTCTCAGAGAATAGGTGCAGGTACTCCCCTTTTCTGAGTCCCCCTTGTCTCCACCCCATCCCCTCCTCCGAGCACTGTCCCTTGGTTCCACCTCCCAGTCTCGCCCCTTTTAGGAATACAGAACCAAGTATCATTTTGTGGTACTAAATAATTTGTATGGAATTTGTTAATGATTTATTAACAATGCTGGGGTTTATTATTGCACTCAGTGATGTCAATGCTGGGGGTTATTATGTCCATCACTGACACCAATGCTGGGGACTATTATTTCTATCACTGACATTAATGCTGGGGGTTATTATTTCCATCACTGATCCCAGTGCTGGGGGTTATTATTCCCATCACTGATACTAATACTGGGAACTATTATTTCTATCACTAATATTAATACTAGGGGCTATTATTGCACTCATTGACATCAATTCTTGGAGTTATTTCCATCACTGACACCAATGCTGGTGGTTATTTTTGCACTCACTGGCATCAATGCTGGGGTTATTATTTCCATCACTGACACAAATGCTGGAGTTATTATTTCCATTACTGACATCAGTGCTGGGAGCTACTATTTCCATCACTGACACCAATGATGGAGTTATTACAGTAAGTCCCTGAGTTCCGTTCCTGGAGAATGTTTGTAAATCGGATTCCTTCCTAAGTCCGACAAAGTGAGTCTTATACACCTTTGACACAAATATACAATGTAAAGCATAAAAAGCACACACAAATACTGTAAATAAACTATTTTTTACTTTAACAGTTACCTTAAAATGGTGGTATAGTACAGTACCACAACTTGCATATAGTGGAAGAGAGTTACTAACTGGAGGAGGGAGGGTAGGTGGGTGATGGTGGAGTTGAAGGATCATCAGCAATAGGTGATGGAGGGCAAGATGGAATTTGGCCCACACCTGATGTTGACGGAGTTAAAGGATCATCAGCAATAGAAGATGAAGGGCAAGATGGAATTTGGCCCACGCCTGATGTTGATGGAGCTGAAGGATCATCAGCAATAGGAGATGGCGGGCAAGATGGAATTTGGCTCACACCTGATGTTGACGGAGCTGAAGGATCATCAGCAATAGGAGATGGCGAGCAAGATGGAATTTGACCCACACCTGATGTTGACGGAGCTGAAGGATCATCATCAATAGGAGATGGCGAGTAAGATGGAATTTGACCCATACCTGATGTTGACGGAGCTGAAGGATCACCAACCATAGGAGATGGAGAGCAGGATGGAATTTGGCCCATACCTGATGTTGACGGAGCTGAAGGATCATCAACAATAGGAGATGGAGGCAAGATGGAATTTCACTCACACCTGATGTTAATGACACAGGTTTTTTGATGGATACAATTCTGCCTACCCTCTGGAAAAAATTATCCAGTGATGTCTGAGTAGTAGCTCTTTTTTTTTTTTCTCATTATAGATGACGCTGTAGCACTGGATGACATTTTGAATGGCTTCTGCAACCTTTGTGTATCGTTCTACGTTGGCGTCCTGTGCCTCAAAAACTAACAGTGCCTCTTCAAGTAAAGAAAATCCCCTTTCCATTTCCTGTGTTGTGAATCTCTTTTGGTTCTTCAGTTACATCTTGGCTCTCTTCTTCTTTTTAGCTGGGCCTCTAGTTCCATCGGGTCCTCATTAGTAAGCTCCTCATATTGCACAGTAAGGAGTTCAATGAAGTCGTCCTCTTGCAGATCTACCTCCAGCTTCATGCTAAGGGTCACGAAGTGGTTGAAAACCTCTTTGGACTCCTTACCCATCTTCTCAAGTCCATGAACTTGAGCAAAGTGCAGGCAAAGGTTCTTCCAAACCTCATTTATGGTGACAGCCGAAACCTCATACCAAGCAAAGTTGATGCTTATTATGGCCTTGGAGATGTTATAGTCCTTCCAAAATTGTCACAAGGTTGTTGCGGTTTCATCAGTAGCCTTCACTGCTTGATGAAAAAGTGTGATGTAAATAATATTTCTTGAAAGTCACAATAACTCCTTGTCCATAGGATGGATGAGCACTGTAGTATTTGGTGTCAGATGCACTTCTTTGACATTAGAATGAAAGCATTCATGAACTGGGGGTAACCTGGTGCATTGTCAAGCAGCAAAAAAATGTTGAATGGGATATCTTTCTCCAAACAATATTTCTCTATCTCTGGGATAAGGTGGTGGAAAAACCAGTCCTCGCAAATGGCCTGTGTAACCCAGGCTTTGGAGTTACTCTTCCACACAACAGGTAGAGAGCCCTTGGCTATGTTTTTGAGGGCTCTTGGGTTCTATGAATGGTAAACTAAGAGAGGGTTTAGTTTCATATCACCAGAAGTATTGCCACCAAACAACAGAGTAAGTCTGTCCTTTGCTGCTTTGAGGCCTGGCATCACCTTTTCCTATTTACTGGTTTCCTTTTTTCTTTTTTCCTTTTCCTTTTCCTTCCCTCCCCCCGTATCTTCGTTCTGGCATCCTCTTCCAGTACAGTCCTGTCTCATCGACGTAAAAAACCTGTTGGGGTAAATAAGCACCTTCATCGATAATTTTGCTAGGTTTTGCTGGAAATTCTTGGCCAGCTATGGTGTTTGCACTCGCAGTCTCACCACTTACATTTACGTTGTGAAGGCTCTAGCCTTGAATCTGTTAAACCATCCATGGCAGTAAAAGGTGCACACTGTTCACCCTGTTTTTTCTTCAAGTCTTCAAACAGGCTTTTAGCTTTTTCTTGAATAAGCATGAAGCTGAGTGAGACTCAACGCTGATGCTGATCCTGCATCCACACACTGAGAAGTTTCTCCATCTCCTCTATCACTTTACCACGCTTTTTGGATATTATTGTTGACTTCATAGGCACAGCAGACTTCACATGTTCCATGATCTTGTTCTTTAGAATTGTGCCAATGGTTGTATGATTCATGTTATAAGAATGAGTGATGTCTACCATCTTTTCGCCTTGGTCCAATCTCTCAATTATTTCACTTTTGGTTCCATGGTTATTGCTTTGTGCTTCCTAGCAGTCCCCTCCACATCACCACTGCTTTTCCTCTTGCTTACGGATATCCTGGGCTCTGTACAGTACACTATCGCACTGTACATTAAGCACACAGCAGCGCAGCTGTGACAATGTCCGGCAGACACATGAGCTACCTCTGACGCTTTGTTTGCATCTTTGCATGTTTATAATGCGAGGTCCTTTCGTATCTGTGAAAGTTTGCAACTCAAATGTTCGTAAGTCGGGGACTTACTGTATTTCCATTACTGCCACCAATGCTGGGGGTAATTATTTCCAGCACGGACGCCAATGCTGGGGGTAATTATTTTCGTCACAGACGCCAATGCTGGGGGTTATTTTTTCAGTCACGGACGCCAATGCTGGGGGAAATTATTTTTGTCACGGATGCCAATGGTGGGGGTAATTATTTCCGTCACGGACGCCAGTGCTGGGGTTTATTATTTGCGTCACGGACGCCAGTGCTGGGGGTTATTATTTGCGTCACGGACGCCAGTGCTGGGGGTTATTATTTTGCGTCACGGACGCCAGTGCTGGGGTTATTATTTACGTCACGGACGCCAGTGCTGGGGGTTATTATTTCCGCCACGGACGCCAGGGCTGGGGGTTATTATTTACGTCACGGACGCCAGTGCTGGGGGTAATTATTTTCATCACAGACGTCATTGCTGGGGGTATTTCCAACATGGACGCCAATACTGGGACTATATTTTATGTTGCATATCACCGTGCACGCAGCAATGACAGTAATAATTCTAGCACCAGACCTCCTCTGTGATGCCAAACTAATAACCTATAGGGGGTGTTTTGAAGTGTTGCCTAGGGTACTGAAGTTACTCTGTGCAACCATGTCTTTTATATTTTACCAAAAAGTTGGGTAATTAGGGTAGGGTGTCTGCTCTCAGATAACATGTAACTTTATAAAATATATATAAAAATTGATTAAAAAAAAAAAAAAAAACAGGAAAAAAGGCTCCAGTCTTCAGCCAATGGTTTATGTTACATTGTTAAAAAAAAAATGGGGGAGAGGAGGTCACGTGCTTTCTGTCGAAGGAGCTCCAATCTTCATGCAAAGGTTGTATGTTACATTAAAGTTTCTTAAGAAAAAAAAATGGTGGAGTGGAGGTCACGTGCTTCCTGTCGACAGTGGAGCTCCAGTCTGCAGCCAGACCCCTGTTATCAGAGGACGGTCTCTGCGCCCTCTACTCATCACATGACCATAATCAACATGGCGGCGCCCAGGCTGGTAGGTGACTTTTAGAGCTGAGTGAGACGTGTGTGGGTGGAGCGGGAAAGCTGGTGTGTGTTAGACGTCCCTCATACGTGTCGGGCTCCCGGTGAAGATCATTCATATGTGAGAGTATCATAGTCTCAGTAACGGGAGGCAGCGCGCCGGTTCTTTAGAATAGCTGTGCCCGCCCACGTGTCTGTCTGTTCCGTACCGTAGTGGTGAGAAGGAGGTGAGCTTATATTAGACGCAATACGGTGCTCCATGCTGAGTTGCCCCTACACTAGATTGGGGGAAGATGATCCAGGTGCACACAGGTGTCAGAAGGTTCCCGACCAATCCGAGTGTGCGGCAGAGCCTGCATTCCTTTCCCTGGTCATGTGGTTTTGGCCATTTGTATCCCATTCACTTCCTGTCCTGGGAACACCATAGGATGTGAGAGGAAACCTCTCCAAAGTGAGGGGGATCCTCGGCCCCCCTCAAAGTCCACACTTGTAAAGTAGAACTAGAGGCAAAACTTTTTTTGTTTTTTTTTGGATAGAGCAAGGAAGGGTTATAACCTTGGTTTAGATTTTTTTTTTCTCCATCTGTGTCCCATTGGGGAGATTTCCCTTCACTTCCTGTCCCATAGCCAAACAGGAAGTGAGAGGAAACCACTGCAAATGAAGGGACTTCCTAGGGGAACCCCCCCAGGTCACTAGAACTAGTGTCCCCATTGGAAGATTTCCTCTCTTGTCTTGGGACAACCCAACATTTGGGATTTTCTTTTACCTTCAATGATAATGGTAAGCGGGACAAATAGAGAGGGTGACACAGACAGCAGTAAAAACTGACAGGGACTCCAATCCATCTCCACTCTTCAAAACTAGAAAAAAAAAGTTTTGCCTTTAGTTATACTTTAAAGTGGAGCTCCACCCAAAAGGGGAAGTTCCGCTTTAAAGATTGGTCCCCGCTCCCCATTAAGGATTGGCACCTTTGGGGGGCAGGGAGGAGCGGGTACCCGAATTTGACAGGTACCCGCTCCCACAATCGCCTAGGTGATCGGAAGTGGAAGGTGTCCTCCCTCCCCGTAGTCTTTAGGGACACGAGACAGGTCCCAGAAGACTACGGGCCATTCAAGAAGCGCAGCGCTACTCGCACATGTGCAGTGGGTACCCGGCTGTGAAGCCGCAAGCTGTCACAGCTGAGCGCCCACACTGAAGATGCCGGTGCTCAGGGAGAGAAGATGGCTGGTGAAACGGGCTGCGGGGGGGACACATCACGGGACCGAGGGGGCAGGTAAGTGGCTGTTTTTTAAAAGTCAGCAGCTACACATTTTGTAGCTGCTGACTTTTTTTTCGCCAGGGTGAGTGGAACTCCACTTTAACCACTTGCCAAGCGTAGGCTTTCACTTGACGTCCTCAGCAGTGGTTATATCGAGATGATGCCTGCAGCTACAGTCATCATCCTGGTATCAGAATGTTCAACCCACTTTCCTGTTTATTCCAGAAGTGATTTGAGGGTCCGAACAGCCACTCGATCACTTATGTGGGCCCCTCCCCGCACCGCTGCCACCTTTCACACGTTCGGTGGCACAACTGTACAGAGAGCAAGGAGCTCGAGTTGTTCCTCCCCCTCTCTGTGACCCCAGAAACGAAACAACGAGGATTTGATTACTTCCGGTTCTGTTTACCTGGCTGTTAGCAGACCAATCGGTGTCTGATCAGCTGCATTGGAGGCCAGAGGAAAGATTTGGGGTCTAGTAGACCCCAGATCTCTCCATAATAAGGACGTGTCACTGCCCATGTTGTCGCAAGGGATGTTGTTCATCCTTTGGGATAGCAAAAAAGTTAATAGAAAAAAAAATGATAGTGTAAAAAAACTTTTTTAAATAAAAGAAATAATAAAAAAAAGTAAAGTGACCCCATCTGCCTGTGCTTATGTGCAAATGCAAACACAAGTCCCGCCCACATAAAGTGCTTTGAAAAAAGTATTCATACCCCTTGAAATTTTCCACATTTTGTCATGTTACAACCAGAACCGTAAATGTATTTTATTGGGATTTTATGTGATAGACCAGGGGTCTCCAAACGTTCTAAACAAAGGGCCAGTTTACTGGCTTTCAGACATTAGGGGAACTGTGGCCATTGGGAGCAGAAATTATCCTGGCGTCATTGGGAGTAAACAATACATACTCATGGGAGTAGCGCCCTATTCTTGGTGTAAGTTGGAGAAATAGGGGGTTATTTACTAAAACTGAGTGGTGCTAAATTCTCGTGGGCTCTGGGAATATGCCCCATGCTTCCAGGTTTTATTGTCAAAGCTTAACTGAACGGCTGAAGTTAGAAGCTGATTGGCTACCATGCACAACTGCACCAGGGGGAGTGCCCCAGTGTTATGTTGTAAATTTACCCCATAGTGTCCCATGTTCTATGTCAGTGGGGGGGAATAGTGCCCCATGGTTTTGTCAGTGGGGGGAATCGTGCCCCATGTTTCTTTTATGTCAGAGGGGGGAATAGTGCCCCATGTTTTATGTCAGAGGGGGGAATAGTGCCCCATGTTTTATGTCAGTGGGGGGAATAGTGCCCCAAGTTTTATGTCAATGGGGGGAATAGTGCCCCATGGTTTATGTCAGTGGGGGGGAATAGTGCCCCAGGTTTTATGTCAGTGGGGGGAATAGTGCCCCATGTTTTATGTCAGTGGGGGGAATAGTGCCCCATGTTTTATGTCAGTGGGGGGAATAGTGCCCCATGTATTTATTTCAGTGGAGGGGAATAGTGACTTGTCAGTAGCTGGAATTATGCCCCCTTGTTGGTGTCAGTGGGAGGAATAGTGTCTTGTATCAGTGGAAAAAAGTGCCCAAGGGCCGGATAAGGGCAAGCAAAGGGCCGCAGGTTGGAGACCACTGTGATAGACCAACACAAAGTGGCACATAATTGTGAAGTGGAAGGAAAATGATAAATGGTTTTCAACATTGTTTACAAATAAATATCTGAAAAGTGTGACGTGTATTTTTGTATTCAGCCCCCTTTGCTCTGATACCCCTAACTAAAATGTAGTGGAACCAATTGCCTTCAGAAGTCACCTATTTAGTAAATAGAGTCCACCTGTGTGTAATGTAATCTCTGTATAAATACAGCTCCCGGGCTGAGCTTGCCTGGGCCCAGGACCAGTTCAATGGGTGCCGGTGGAGGGAGGAGTTCTGCTCTGCTCCCCCCTCCCCTTCTTCTCCTGACCCGGAAGTGATGTGATGTCCTTCTCGGGTCCCCAGTAACAGCTCTGGCAGCGAAAGGAATAAAGGATAAGCCCGACACTACCCTTTCCTGAAGAGCACCTAGTTGGGGCTCATTACACTGCAAGGCTTCTTTCCTCCCTGCTAGTCCTGGGGGCGGGGCTGGAGACAGGCAGGGAGGGGAGGAGGAGATAAACAGCGCAATGTTAAAAATATTAAACGTTTAAGTCGCCATAAAGCCCCTTTTGTTTTTAAAAGCCCCAGACATTCCTTAAAGCACCTATTTATTTATATTTAAATATGGTTTGGTTAAAATTATTATTTTTTTTTATCTGGACAAGTAGATTGTCATGAGGGACAAGTAGATTAGGGTACTGATTTAGTCCCTGGACAAGTAGTTTTTTTCAGAAATTTCCAGACCCCCAGGTTAACCGCTTCTCCACCACCCTATAGCAGAAATACTGCTGCAGGGCTGCACAAAATCACGTATATATACACGTGATTTTGCATTTCCAGGTAGGGGGCAGGCGCGCGCCACCCTACCCGCACCGCCATTGGCGGCTGCAGATGTCGATCACGTGGTCCTGGCTGGATATTCCCCTCCGGTACCCGGCGATCGCTGAGAAACAGTGACAGAGGGGAGACCTCCCCACAGGTCTTTCCCTGCCAGCAGTAACAAGCTGCTGTGTATTTCTCTGCACAGCAGCATGTTTCCCTAGTAAAGCACATACAGTAAAAACAGCACACAGTTAACCCTTTGATCGTCCCAGATGTTAACCCCTTCCTGTCCAGTGTCATTAGTACAGTGTTAGTGCTTTTTATTAGCACTGATCACTGTGTTATTGTCATTGGGATGTCAGTGGCAGTTATTCAGTCAAACCCCCCCCCCAGTGTCAGAATGCCCCCTGCAGCCCTAAGTCACTGATCGCTGACAGTAGTATAAAAAAAAAATAAAAATTCCAGTATATATATCCGCCATTTGTAGACGATATAACTTTCATGTAATCCAATTAATTTACAGTATTGGGATTTTTTTAGAAAAGACATGTAGCAGAATACATTTTGGTCTAAATTTATGACAAAATTTGATTTTTTTAAAACATTTTTTACTGGATATGTTTTATAGCACAAAGCCAAAAATATATTTTTTCTTTTTTTCAAAATTGCCGTTTTTTTTGTTGTTGTTTATAGCACAAAAAATAAAAAACGCATAAGGGATCATATTCCACCGAAAAAAAGCTCTATTTGTGGGAAGACAAGGACATAAATTTCATTTATCTACAGCGTTGCATGACTACGCAATTATCAATTAAAGTAACTCAGTACCGTATTGCAAAAAATGGCCTGGACAGGAAGGGAGGTAAATCCTCTGGAGGGCAAGTATTAAAGTGGAACCAGAATCCTCCAAAACTCTCCTTCAACAATGCCACATCCATGAGCTCTGCTGCTGTCATATTCTCCTTAGCTTTTTTTGGCCATCTTGTAATACATATGCAGCACAATGTACATTTTTAACCACGTCTATCAGGGCAGTCTGACATTTCTCCCCAAATCAACATTTATTTTTTTTGCTCATTTTACTTAGAACCCCTAAATGTTATACATTTTAAAGCAGATACCCTGGAGAATAAAATGGTTGGTGTTGCAATTTTTAAAGTCACACAATATTTGCAAAGATTTTTAGGGAAAAAAATAACTTAAATGAATTTTAGTGCACCCAAACACAATATATTACCCAATTATTGGTAATATATAAAAAATGACGTTGCTCTGAGTAAATAGATACCAAACATGTAAAGATGTAAAA